AATGACACAGACAGTGCAGAGTCTAGGAACAAGTCTAAAACTGTGATGTATCAGGTGCTTGTTATAGACTGAAACTTATACAACCTAAATATCAGCCCCCGATTGTCCCTAAATTCTCTAGCTTGTGGAAGTCATCTCATCCGGTACTTAAGGATAGATTGGCTTAGGTTCGCCTGAGGGACATCAGAAACTCAGAGTCCTTCTCAAGTATCTCCAAAAATTCCCAGGATAGTGACAGTTCCACTAATAATTTACCATTTCGAATGCCTTCTTCCAAATAATTTATCTGATAAGATTTTGAATGTTATTATGAAATTAGCAAAGAGATGCTTAAAGTGTGTATAAACAATTACTTGCAATTTCAACAATAATCAATTCAGGTTCAAATTTTTTAATTAATATCCTTGAATTTCTGTCATATCTGGATCATTTTTTAAAATCCTTGAGAGAATGTTATTCTCTGAAATAGTAGTATTTAAATTGCCAAAAACATTGAGTATGTATGAACAGACTCTAAGGGAAACGCCAAGACTCCTACTGCCTGGTATTCACACAGTCCTCTTCTCCTGAATGTAGGCAGGATATGTGAGCTATTTATGAGAAATAGGTGGCAAACATGACAGAATGTACATGGTTAAATAATAAAAGTATATTAGCATTTTCTGGAGACTTTCCCCTACTGCCCACGTGGTGAGCAGCCCAATGCAGGGACATGATGCCTAGGAAGTGAGGGTGACCTTCTGCTGGTTGCTAGAAAGAAGCAAAGACTCTCAGTCTAGTAACATGTAAGGAACTGAATTTTGCCCACAACAGCAAGCACCAGAAAGTGGACACTTCTCACTGAAGTGTCAGAGACTGCAGCTCTGTCAGACATCCTGGTCACAGCCTTGAGGACAACCCAGTTAAACTGGGATCTGCACTATTGGCATAAATTAGGCAGTAACACTTGTGCATGGTTTTCAGCCTCTAAGTCTGTGGCATTGTGTTTACACAGTACTGCTTCAGTAAGGCAGTGGTTAATTTTAAGTGTCGACTTGACTAGATTACAGGATATTTTGATGGCTGGGAATGTGTCGTGCCTGGGTGCATCTGTGAAGGTGTTTCCAGAAGAGATTGGTACTCAAATCAGGGAACAGACAGGAATACCCACCTTCAGTTGTGGGCAAGCACTATCCAATTAGCTAAGGCCCAGATAAAACAGAAAGATACTCTCTCTCCTGGAGCTAAGACATCTTCTTCTCCTTCCTTTAGACATAAGAATTTCAAGTTCCTGAGCCTTTGTGCTCCAAGAATTCTACCAGTAGCATCGCACAGATCTCAAGTCTTTAGTTTCAGACGAGAGCCACACTATCACCTAAGGCCTCTGAACCGGGACTCAAACAGTCCACTGGTTCTCTGAATCTCTAGCTGTCAGATGATTGCCGTGGGCCTTTTCAATCTTTGTAATTCTATGAGCCAGTTTTCTTAATAAATCCCTTTTCTTCTATCTATATGCTTTTCCATTAGGATTTTTGAACAATACAATGTGTCTCTAAAAGTTAAAGCTATTTTTCTACTATAATATTACTACCACATCTAAAAATAACATAGCTCCTTAACATTGAATATGAATTTCCCTCCAGATTTCCACAATTAACTTTTTATAATTGATTTGTATCCATCAAAATCTTTAAAAGTCCACATATTACATTTAGTCATAATGCCTGTTAGGTCTCTTAACTTTGAGATTACCTTCCCTTCTTTTTCCTTGACATTTATTTATTGAATACTTGAGTCATTTATCCTAGGAAGTCTTCCACTTCTCAAAGCTTACTAATTGCTTCTCCATGGGATTATTTAACAAGGCCCGTTATCTGTTCTGTTTCCGGTAACCTGATTGTGAGATACAGATTCCTTTTATTTTTTTGAGAGGTTCAGATTACTTTTAAGGCAACCTGTGTATTACTGAGTACATCATCATCTGTAGATAATGGTGAATCACTGGACAACTCATAACGCTTAGACTCACATTTGTGTGATGATAATGTAAGTCAGTGGGTTGGGGAGTTGTTGGTGTTCCACTGACCTTTTATTGAATGAGGTTAGGTGCCACTGAAGATCACTGTCCAGCTCTATTATTTTGTTACATTTACAAACTGGTAATACATAAATTGTAGCCTCTGATGATTTTAAGTTTTCTTCCATGTGCTGTCCCTCCCTACACTGTTTTTCTCTATAGATACCATTCCAGTACCTTTATTTCTCACAAAATATAGATTCAATATCATGTGTGTAACAGGATTTTTTGAGGGTTTGGGGCAAGACTGGGAAATGGAGAGATAAACTGCAGTAGAATTTTTTTTAAAATGACCTAAAATAAATAACCAGGCAATTTTGTTCTAAAAGACCTCTCATTTATCTTTTCAATTTATATTCCTGGCCTCTGCCATGGATTAGGGTGACAAATTTGTCCTAATTTATTTGGGACTTTCCTGTGTCGGTCTGAAAACACAATGTCCTGAGAAACACCTCTGTCCTGGGCAAAATAAAGATGACTGATTTCACTACCTGGTGCGGGTAGCTTTCATTTTGCTTTAATTCCTTTTTTCCTCTATTATTTATTCCCAACTCTCCAAATTCCCAGCTCTTCAAATAAACTCTTTATTTATTCAGTAGGATCAGTAAATGATCAGTAAATGATCATTATATCAGTAAATGATCGTTTACCTATCTTCTCACTTTGATCTATCCAAAGTATGGGTGGGGTCCTCATCTTCAAACTAACCATGTCCTTGCTAGTCTGCTTCTTATCTAATAAGAATTACAACTCTCTAAAGGAAGTTATCTCAGCTACTAGGGATCAAATTCAGGCCCTCATGTATGTTAGGCAAATACTTTACCACTGAGCTATATCCCTAGTTTCTAAACTCATATCTTAATGTATTAACTTATATTTCTACTAAGTTTGTAGTCACTTTGGGATATGGGCACTTGTATTCCTGTTTTACAGGTGAGAAAAATAATATAGGTAGTACATATGGAAGAGTGAAAAATGAAAACAGTTTCTAAGAAAGGTAAATATTTCCATATGAAGTAGGAAGATAAAAAGGCCACGCTGGCATATGCCTATAATCCCAGCATTTGACAGGCTGACACAGGAGGATCCCCATGAGCCCAAGGTTAGCCTGGGCTATAAAGGAGAGTTAAACAGCAGCTTGAACTACATGGAAAGATCCTATGCCAAAAAGATCCAAAAAAGTAAATAACAAAAAGAAAACAAGAAAAAAGGATGCTGAAGGGTCTGGTCTGCCCTATAAAATGATTTAACAGGGCTTCACCTCCCCAAACGCTGCTTTTTCCAGATGATTAAGCACATGGACTCTGGGTGGTGATCGCAAAGTGCTTAAATTCCCCATATTGCCACTTATTACTTATGTGAACTTCGGCAAGTCACTTAAGTCTCTGTGCTTTCAATTCTTTATTTGAAATATGGGTATGAATTTTTTCATAATTACTCATCTTCCTTAGGGTTCTTGTAAGGATTAAATGAGATAATTCATGTAAGACCCTTATGTGCAAACAAATACTTATTTCTTTTTAAATGTAACACACATGCAGGTAGCTTCTTTTCAATAAGGGCAAGAATCCAGAGAGTTTCTATAACATGCTTTATGTTTCTTAGGAAACGATTTCTTGGGGAAAGATAGAATGAATGTATTATAATGTGAAGTAGAAAACTGTGTAGGAAAACAGTTTTATCTTTGAGATCTTAATTACAAAGTCTAATCTTCTCTATTTTAATTGCCAAAGCTTATTTAGTGTATGGGATAATTATCTGCTTTTGGATTCAGTGATGTCATCCATGATTACCATGGCAACAATAAGAGCAGTAAACTTGAAGTTGGGTCACTGTAGCTAAAAGGAAGAAGACTAAATTTGAAAAGCATGCAAATTTGAACATCATGAAAATCCACTTTTAATATTGAAACTCATAGCTACCTTAAGCTTAACCACAAGTCCTGAGAATAATCTGAATTCATTTTAAATTAAAATATGCATACCAGAAGAATAAAGAATTTTAAAAATTCTCAAAAGAAATAAAACTTAAAAATCAAGTCATTTTTATCTTTTGGTGCATTTCCTATTCTGATGAATCACATCAAAACAATATTCAAGAAGCTGGAAGCAAATGCAAGGGTATGGATTCCATCAAATCAGTGGATAAAACTGACCTGTACTGAGTCTCAACCGTTCTTTTTCATTAAAAGGCAAAAGTAGACATTGTAAGGGAAAATACTGATTCATTGCATTTTTCCTTCTGTAGTATTACAGATTTCACAATTACCGCATGTTAAAGTTAGATTTCCAGCATGACTTTTTAGATTTATCAAAGACTAGAGGAATATTGTGAAGTTATCACGATCTTAGCATTCAAAGGATCCCGGTGAGACTAGAGATCAAGTACTCTGAGTTATAATTTTCTGTCTTTTCTACTACATTAGACTATTTTTATTGCAAATCTGGCATTTAACCGTTAAGCTTCAACAAAACTTTCTCTCTAGTAAGGCGGTGAAGGTTTTATTGAATTGCTTTCCAGCTGTCCCTCATCCCAGGGAAAATTGTGATAAATGAATGTTGAAAGAATCTTAGAAATTTCAGAAGATGCTATCCTGAGGGACCAGAGGGAGGCTATTGGCCCTGCTATTCCCATTCCATTCACATTCTGCAATAATTTCTTATCTACTCTATAAATTCTGTTGGCAAGAAGCCCTTTGGGTATTCCATTTCCCCTCATTAAAACTCTTCCAACTTTTCTTCCCTCTCGCATTGCATTTTTAAGCGTATTGCCAAATAAAGATGTTGGTTAAGAAAATCCTCTCAGTTCAAAAGAGCTTGAAGGACCGTCTCACTCCCTTCAGGGTTCTCTGCTACTGAGTCATGAGAATAAGAGATTAGCCCTCAGAGGAACGGAGATGCCTGGAGCCTGGATTCTTAATGATGTTTCCTATTTACTTCTGCAGACAGCTTGGCTGGCTGAACCGAAGAAGACCTCTCCAGAAGTCTCTGGTCTTCATAACGCTAACTGAACAGAGTAAGTAACAAAGCAGCCAAAGAAACCCCCCCGCTCTGTCTTCTAGGAGCCTCATGTCAGGACTGGGCTCTGAATGAGGAACTTTTCACACTTGCTCCTACAGCTGACCACAACTTCCCTGAGCTCCCACCTGCAAACCTGCCTTTGTTTATTGTACCTGTACTTCTGATCTACCCAGCTCACAGCCACTAAACTAGATTTCATCAAGTCCGGTTTTTCATTTTCTCTCTCTTTTTTGGTTTACTCACTACAAGATTTCTCTACCTGTTGTGACCAAAACAGCTCCTCTATCTCAGGATGTACCCTCTTCTCAAACAAAGCCTGCTCATTCCTTCCCCGTTCCTGCCTGGCTCACTTCTGCACCTGCCTTAGCTCACATTGTTCCTACCAGCCACAGGGTCTTCCTCTCAAGGTTCCTTGCCTCACTGGCTCTCCCCTCTGCGCATGCTCATGTCCACACCTGAAAGGGAGCGGTGTGCTGCTCCAGGTCCCGGACATACTCAGAGTGAAGGGCATAGCATTCTGACAGTGCTGCCCACCTCTCCATCCCCCACCAAATTCCAACTGCTGACTCAGGCCTGGGCTGATGGGGCACCTGGGCTTCATTGCTTCACACCTGCTATACTTCTATATGAATACTGCATTTATATATTTTTGTTATATCCTCGTCACTGATTATTTTACCAACATTATTACATTTAAACCTTAGAATAATCCTAATCAGAATATATTAAGATTTGAATTTTTCATATTGATGCTCAGACAGACTAAGTAACTTGCCCAAGGTCATATGGCCTATAAGTTATAATGATTCTGTTTTTCAAACTTGGTCTAAATTCACCTCTCACCAGAAGACTTTCCCACTTAATACTCTTTGACTCATGCTTGCAGTGTGTGCTGGTAATTTCTTGGGTGCACTGATGAATGAATTTCAATTGTTTGTGTCTCAACGTTGAAGGATCCTCAAGGACAAGAATCTTTTCAAAGACAAAATGTGTTAATTCCTCAAAGGACAGTGAATGCAGTCTATAGAAAATGGTGTTGGCTGACTCACTCTTCTTTCAAGCATCCATAACATGAATTAGGAGGCAGAATGACACGATGCTTAGAAATACGAATTAATCTCCAGGTGACCTCTCTGACTTGTGACTCAAGCTTCATCACGAAACAGGCACAGTGATGCCATGCCCTTGCTGCCTTGTAATGACAGAGGATATCCCTTCAGAATGAAGCTCACTGCTTCTTACTCAAGACAGCATTTCACAGCTCACGAACAGGGTCGCGTATCATCATCCTAGCAAACCCTGAAGTAAGCAGGCATCCCTGTCGTCATTTAAAGGAAAGGGAGCAAAAGTTTCTAATAATGAAGTGCTGTCCACAAGGCTTCCTCTTTTTGCATGAAAGAATTTAATGATATGGGCTCCAGATAAAAGAGGAAAAGCAGCATAAGAAATTTCTCTTGGTAATGATAAATAGACACAAACTTCTGAACTCCCCAGATGAAAATACTTTTTTAAAAACTGGTAACTGAAACCCCAGCATCATGCAGCCTTGATAGAAAGGACTCCTAAACTCCTTTTTCCTATCAAATGTGCTTCACTTTCTCTATGTCTTCTGGATTACAGGAATTTTCACAGGCACTCAATGAGTGGCTGAGGACACCAGAGATCTAGAATAATTCAAACACACAAAGAAGGGGCCTAATTTTAGACCATCCTGTGGTAGTGAACAGTCTAGGGGTCTGTAGTGCTTCCGATTTGATTGCTGGGTCTATGGCTTCTTGTTAATTAGCAAGGTTAGCTTAAAGGTCACCCAGAGTGGCTAGCCTCATCCACTGGAATGGAAGAAGGGCTGAGAAAATGAAAATAATTCAAGTATGACTTGCACTTAAAAACTGCCTTTTAATGAATGAGTAAAACGTCTGTACATTTCTGTGGCTGAGTCTTAAAAAAGGCATTTCTTGTGTTGACATTGCCAGAGAAAAAGAAAATCTGTTTCTTAATTGCAAAAGGAGTGAATGGCTCTCTGCTTGCCTGTGAAGGAACAGGCAGATTATTCATACTAAAAATATCCTCCTTACCTTTGCATTAGTCACTGGCATTTTATCTCTGGTCTTCTTGACTTTTGGAAAAGGTTTTTCCATGAACCCAAGGACAGTAGTGACCTTCATAGGCTGCTACAACCAGACATCAGAATGGTAGTGCTGGGGACATCTCTAGAAACAGGGAGGATTGTATATGCATTAATCCTTTACTGTAGAGAAAGAGAATCTCCAGGAAAAGAGCCTGTGGGGACAAGGAAGGGAAATTCCCACAGCAACACCCAGCAACAGCCTACTGAGACAGTCACTCCTGTGGACTATAAAAGTTGGCCCTTGACGAGGACCCACTTACCATATTTGATTAAATCTCTATTGAGTACCAGGAACTGTACTAGGAAGTGAGGAAACAAAAAGGAATTAGTCACAGTGTCTACCTTTACAAATGGCATAGGATGCTTGTAAAACCAGCTACGCTCTTTTCAAATAAGGTGTTGTTATATATAAAATCATCTGAAAGAACAGAAGCAAGAACAATAAATTCTCTTGGGGTTACACAGAGAAGTCAGAAAGGTATTCACAGATGCAGGTCACCTGAACTGAGCACTGTAGGATGAACATGGATTGATGTTAAGCGCAGAATAACATAGAGAAGGCACAGTTCAAAGAAAGAAAAACTGTGAATGAAGATAAAGATTTGTAAAACATGAAAGGTTTTAAACAAGAGAAAACATAGGGTTGGCCTCATTTTTTAGAAAGGAGATTCTGATAGTAGATGTGGGAAATGGACCAGAAGGAACAACAAAACCAAGGAGTGACCATTTAGAAGGCTCCTTAAAACAAGGAGGGAGGAGAGGAAGACCTGACTTGGACAAAGGTCACAGGGATGAGAGGAGGGAATTCCACCTCATGTAGACATTAAATACTGCTGAATAGATTTGAAATCCTACTTTTAAAATGAACTAAATGTATGTATTGTTTGACATAGAAAAGCATTTTATCCTCTATGATCTGATAAAAGTCATTATCTAAGACTTGAGTAGAAGGCAGAAAAGTATCTAATGATATTATTTTAGAGAGGCACGCTCTGAAGAAACAAACAAAATACTTTTAAAAAGAAGGCAAAACGAGGTAACCCAGGCTATGGAATATTCCTTCAAGGCAGCCAGCATAGGAAACACAAGTAGGAGAAAGGATTCCTGATGATGAAAAGATGATAGGGCATCAAGGGGGCAGAGGGCACATTGCAAAAGGAATGAGATAAACATCCAACCACTGCCTTCAGCATGTGAACCTGCTACTCTACCTCCAACCCTTAAGAAAAGAAGAAAGCCCTTCTTGACCTTCCTATATGTGTCACCAGTCCGTCCCTCAAAAATGCTATTGTCTCAGTCATTTTCTCATTGCTGGGACACCGTACTTACAATTTAAAGGAGGGAATGTTCATTTTAGTTCCTGTTGCAGAAGTTTCAGCGCCTGCTTGGCAGACACAAGCAGTGAAACAGTATAGTGGAAAGCTACTTAGATCTTGACATCCAGGAAGCAGAGCAAAAAGGAAGGAGCCAAGGGGGAAAATGTAAACTTCCAGATCATGATCTCAGTGACTCGCCTTTTCCAATGAATGAGACCCACCTCTTAATAGCATACTCAGCTTCTGAACTCACTAGCAGATGAATCCAACTATAAGCACAGTGTCCCCATGATACAATCACTGTCCAAGAGCCCTACCTCTGAGCTCATAAGAGTTTTGGGGGACATGGTTCATCCAAACATTTTAGATATCTTCCCATTCTTTCTCAAAATCACTGTGAAAGGGTTTTCTCCACCACCACTCCAAAGAAATTCTTGTCAAAGTCATTCTATTACTCACTGTTCCATTCACTGGGGCAAACTGCCTGACATCTGAAACTTAAAGAAGTTTATTTGATTCATGGTTCCGAAGGTTTAGTGCATGGTTAATTGGCTCCAAGACAGAAAGTTATGGCAGAGGGAAGCTACTCAACCCAAGATAGGCAGGAAGCAGAGAGATGAGGGTGGAAATGGGGACAAAACTATATCTTTCTGAGAGATGCTCCCAATGACCCACCTCCTTCAACCTGGCAGCGCTTCCCAATAGCACATTCAGCAAAGAACCCATCATTGGGTCACTGATGAATGCAGTGTTCTCATGATTCAGTCATATTCTAACTTCTAAATATATGACACTTTTGAGGGACATTGTAGAGCTAAATCATAACAATCACATACACATCTCTATTTCTAAACTTAATGATTGGTTCTCACAGACTTTATTTCACCGAAGTATATGCAATTTTTTACCCAGTTGACTATTTCCCCTTCTTTGCTGCACGGTCTTCCCTTGGCTTCTAAGCTCTCTCACTCTTAGTTTTTATTTTACCCTCCTGGTCTCCTTTTCAGTCTCCTTTGATGATTCCTCCTTTTTCTCCCAACTTCTTCACACTGAGAAGACCAGAGCTCAGACCTAAGCCATCTTTTTAAATTATATTCACTTCCTTGGTGATCTCAAACAGTTACTTGTCTTTAACTTTTCTCTACATGATAAAGAGTTTTAAATGTAAGTTTTTATACGTTTCACCTAGATCTCTGTCTTACATTCTAGACTTATATACACACTCAACCATCTCAAACTCAACACATTAACAACCAATTTCTTAATCTTTGTCTTTTTCCAAAACTGTGATATCTCTACTCTTCCAGTTTTTCCATAAATATTTTTGTCTCATTGCTTTCATCTAACCTAGAAACAGTTCCTCCTGGTTCTAGCTTCAAAATACAATCATAACCTAAAATCAGAAAAGTGATAGCTCCCTGTTCCTGTACCACTCTACTCTTGAACCCCATGTCACCCACCACCTCCTCCAACTTTCCCTTAAAAATTACATTAAAACCTTAACCCCCAGAACCTCAGATTAGAGCTTTTTTTTTTGGAGAAAGGGTCACTGCAGATACAAACAAGGTAAGGTGAGATCATTTGGCTGAAACTTTAATGTATATAATTGATACCTCCTAAGAAATTTAAATTTAGATTCAGAGACAGCCACCCAGCAAGGAAAGATGACATCAAAATGCACAGGAAGAGGACAGTCATGTAAGGACAAAGCCAGAGATTGGAGTCCTGTTGCCACAAGGCAAAAAGCACTTGGAGTTATGAGACCTGAAAGATAAAAGGAAAATTCTCATCCAAAGGCTACAAAGGAAGTGTGCCCTGACCCACACCGTGATTTCAAACTCAGCACCTCCAAAACCGTAAGAAAATAAATGCATTGCTTTAAGTCACCAAGTTGGTGATACAGCAGCTCTGGAGAACTAATAGACTATAATAGTCTCCTAACTGGTATTCCCACATCTATCTTTCCTTTCCTTAATTTATGCCCAACAGAGCAGCTCAAATAATTTTCTGAATGTAAATTTCACCCTGTATCATTTTAGCAAATGCTTTGTATCTCACTCAGGACATAGCGTATTCACAATATACTTGTCTATATGGTTCTGTGTGTTTCCTTTACTACTACTTCTGCCCATCTTTTCCTGTTTGGCTCCTTATATATTCTGATTTAACCATCTTGATGTTTTGCAAACATATCAGGGATTGTCATACATTAGCATTTTCTCTGCTTGAAAATTATTTTTTCCAGATACTCACATTTTTGTATCCTGTGCTTAAGTGTCTCCTCTCTGAATCACCTTAGCCTGGCCATTATACTTAGTAAGCAAACTTGTTCTGCTCCCAAAATACTAATCCCCCAAAAACTTATATCCTCTTCATTTATTCCATAGTAGTTCTTATAGATCCCCTATGATACTTTACAATTTTCTTATCTTTTACATTGACTTTTATTGTCTATCTCTATTCAGTCAATAAGACATACATTTCTCATGACCAAAATTTTTTGTTTCCTTCATACACTGCTTTGTCCTAAGCACTTAGTCTAGTACACAGCACATAATTGGATACTAATAAATATTGACTGCGATGTTAAATGAATTGCTGCCCATATTGTTCTGCCTAGATAATCCTACATTAAAATTGGCAGAATCCGTGATGTATGTGGGTATCCACACATGAACATTCATACAAGTGTGTGTATGCACTGAAAAAGGGATGCATTTTGGAATTAGGTTAAACTCTCAATCCTGTCAATTTTTTACCAGAATAATTTAATGTGAGTTACACAAAGTAGCTCAGTTCCATACTGGTTAAATAAATACAACAATTCCTACATCACACATTTGTGAAAAGGAAATTAGATAATACAGATGAAAGTGCATTGGAGAGCAGGAAATTTGTAACATTATGTTCATTTTGAGATGTTTCGTCTTTATAATGCTGGTTGTTGTCAACAATTTAGGTTAATCAGGAAATTTAGGCAATCAGGATGCCTGACTTGACACTATACCTGTGTTTTGATTTACAGACCTGAAGCTGTGAGCACAGCATTGAAACATCCCCCACAAAGGAGGGCAATGGGGTGCCTGTACAGCAAGGCTCACAACAGTGTAAGATATTTTTTTCTTTCTCCTACTTCATCTCTGAACTTTACAGAAAATTATCTTTACCCTTCTAGTTTCTATATTACTCTTTGCTTACTATGGATAAATCTGAACAAACTGTTTCCAATTTTGTTTTTTACTAAAATTCAGAGCTTCAGCCTAAGAGAATCTGCATCAAATGAAAAAATGCATTTAAAATCCAGTGTTGCCAACAGATTCCTGCTCAACTATGCACTTTGCCAGGGAAGGCAGAGAATTATCCTGTTAGGGAGGAAGAGCAGTGTCAAAGATCCTGCTATTAGCTCTCTTTCCAACAAATCAGGAAACCATAAAATAACTTTGGAATTAGATTCCTTTCATCTTACTTGTGAAAAGCAAAGAAAAAAAAAAAACTTTTACTTTCTTTGAATCTCGAGGTCACTGTTAACAGTAAAGTCCCTCTTTGGGTTTGGATTCCTCACAGATCCTGAATGTGTGTGGCTTATGGATGGGAATCAGATGAAGGAGATGCAGGAGTGTAACAAAGCAACCAGCTTTGAGAAGTCATCTGAATTGGGTACAGGGATCTCTGAGTTAGAGAACCCATTGCTTTAACATTTAGTTTCTTCTTTAAAAGAGAGAAATCACACCTACACCACCACATAAGGACAAACAATGAAGCTTATGTGGCATAGCCACCGTAAGACTTAACATGTATCATGAGTCCTCAGAATGGTAACAATTATTATAATTGAAATGACCTTGAAATCCATTTGTAATCACCATCAAATGAGTCACATTATTTAATGAAGCTAAAGTTGATCAGAATACTTTTTGAAATGGGTGAATCTTGTATGCAAAGGCTACATAAAAGTTTGACAAATAGATGGAAGAAAAAAAATGTTCTCGTTAGGTAAGTGAGTCATCATGAACAGTGTTGTGGAAGTAGAGAGGAAAATAAGGTACACTGAAAAAAATATCAAATTAGTTTGGGTGGAAGTAAATTGTTAAAAGATAATTGCAGATAACACATTGCATCTTTATTGTAATTGTCTTTCCAGCTCTCCTCCTACACCCCTCACACGTAAAAGAACTCTTCTTGTGTTTAAAAACATCTACTCCTTGCTATTCACAGAAAATGGTGATTCCCTCAAATCAAACATGAATTATCCAGCACAAAAGATAGGCAACCAATTATCATAAAACTCTTGAGGAAACTAAACCAATTTCAAAAGATACAAAATTTCATCCCACTGAGCACCTGAATCCTTCAAAACACTAAATAAATAAAAGCAAAGGAGTCTTTATAGTTATAACAAGTCAGCTTTAGAGAAGTTAGAGATTAATAGTTAAAAGTAAAAGAAAAATCTCAATAGACACTTAAAGAGTGAATTAAGACATAGACATTAAGTGAGAAAAATCTCGTAATATACAACAAAACAAAGAAATGGAAAGAATGACATCAAAGTGGACATAGGAGCCATACCAGGCAAATTAGAATCCTCGCTAGAACTTTTCTAATTGAGATTTTAAGAAAGAGGAGTGCTTTTCTGGGTTTGAACAGACAGGAGGGTGAAATTGATAGCTGACCACTATTGTGAGACCCACCAAGTAGATACAAAGTCCCACAAGCCAAAGGAGAACTGAGCAATAAAGAAAGATCCCATATGAGAGTAACAGATTTTGAATTTGTCTTTCACAAAATCCAGTAGAAAATGAGACAAAACATTTAAAAAAATACTTTTAGAGCACCAGAAAACAGGAAGAACTGATCTCAAATTTTTAAGAAAAGAGGAAGCAACTGGAAGCATTTTCCAGGTTGCCACAGAGAAAGCTGGGGTTTAAGAATCCCTGCTGGGTTTCAGGGGGGCAGAGATGAAAGGTCAAAGCTGGCAATTTAGCGGGACATAATAGAACAGGAAGTCATAAATTAGGGAAATGTGCAGAACTAAACCTTTTCAGATCTATAGAAAAATTTGCTGACACTTTGATTCAGTTACAATGATTATTGCATGTAATAGAAAAAAGTTGCAAAAACATAAATGTCTTGTAAAGAATCTTTCAACTCCCAATGATGGAGTATTTTTCAGATAGAAAAAAATAGCATGGACAGATCATCATGGAGCAACATAGAAAGACTTTCAAGATATTTTGCCAAATGTAAAAATTACACTTCACAAAAATTACTCAAGCATACACATAATTATATCTGTTATATTTTTAAATGTGTTTCTAAATGTATGTATTTAAGTATTGATGCGATAATATGTTAGTGCAATCCGGCAAGATGTATGCCAAAACATTCCACTAGTAATAATGACTAAAGGAGAGATGAAGGAGACTCACATTTTGTTCCATTTGCTGATTAGTAATTCTTTTCTCATAAGGTTTTAAATGACTATAAACTGTCAGGAAATAATAGCAAAGGAAATGCAGAGTGTCAATTCATCAGCAGTGCCTCTGAACTGGAAACTCCAACTCATAATTCTGAAAAATGATGCTGGTCTAATTATTTCAGATTCTAGGGATTTTTTTCTTCCTTAGCACAGCTTTCGGTATCAGGTAGCTGAAACTAGAAGAAGGGAGGAAAAACAAGGAGAAACTTAATGAAGAGCTCTAGAGGTAAATAACAAAGAAACGAAAACACCACAGGAGAAAGCCTGACTTCTCCGGCTTTCTTTGGAGTAAAGCAGTCTCACCACAATCTTAGAATCAGATTACTGTTCCCTCTATTTGGATGAAGAATAAGATGGGAAATGTGAAGAACTCCTCTTGGAGAAGACTACATAAGAGTTTGCTCTTTCCCTCAATTCCACATTTCTACACAGGGCTGGCTATATAACTTGCAGGGCCTTGTGCAAATGAAAAGACAATTCTTCTTGATCAAAATTTGTTAAGAATTTCAAGATTGCAATAGCAAATCATTCACCCAAGGCCTATGAGACTGCACATCATGAAGTCGGCCTTGTTTTTCTTTTAAACCACTGAGCTTTATGAGCAAGACTTTAAACAACAGGGAGGTGAATGGTGGACAAAAATATCAAGATCATGTCACCGACCTAACACTCTGAATCCAACACATACTTCTGCTTCTATGTGGCTGTGTCACTCATGATCTTGGCAGGGAGCAACATCCTTAAAACAAACAAGAAATTAAGAAATTTTAATATAGGAAGAGGTTTAGAGTTAAGAGAAAGTAAGAAACCACTGTCATGCCCAGGACTGCAGGCAAAAAAGAAGCCCAGTTACTAGAACTCAGAGACACAGGTAACTGCGTGTGATGATCTTAACAGCAGTAAGCCCATGCCAACCAGAAGCTCCTGGGAGGACTGCCAGGACAAAGTACACTCCTGCCCTCTTAGCCTCAGCTGCCCATTTGTAGAATTAGATACCAGATTTGGGGCCAGGGATTTAACTCAGTGGCATAAGCACCTGCCTGGCAAGCCAAGATGATAAGGGATCCCTGACACCAAAACAAAACAAAAAAAGCCAGAGAGCAAGATAGAAAACATAAAGTTGTTCCATTAGAGAGTAAAACAACAGGATGAAAAGGAGACCTGGAGGGAGAAACAGGAAATGCCCTACATAGTGTGGACCTGGGAGCTGTGACTTGGACAGGGCTTCTGAAAAGAACTGGAACAGAGTGTCAAAGAAACATACTGGCCACACCAGCATGAATACCTAGCCATCCCTTTTGCTAGCGCAAATGACTCTGAGGTAGATTGTACAACAAGCACCAAGTGGCACCAGACACCAAATACTATATGCCAATAATGCTTCCAAATTAGAGCTCATAATTTCTTTCCTAGGAAAAAAGAACATAGAATATAGAAAATCCAATGAGAAGGCCAGCAGAACATCTGCTGGAGAAAAGGTGAATCTGGGAGCTACTTTGGTGAGCATGAACTCTTTTTTTATTAAAAAATTAAAAGAAAGAAGGAGATTAAGATAAAAGAGGACATAACAACATAAAAACACAGGTCAGAACAGAACAATTTAAGGAACATAGTGTTTCACCACAAAATAACCCAACATAACAGTAGCTACCGTAGTGTCTCTTTCCTTGAAATATTTAAGTATAACTTCATATATTATAGCATCAAACACAGCATGACAGTGTAAAATCATTCAAGAGAATGAAAGTATTACAGGGTATTTAGAACCAACAGAAAATGAACAATGGCTTCTATATTATCTCCTTGTCTATAAAAATTTTGTTTATACTATCACATATAATAAAATCCAATTAGATACAACATGATAAACTGATGGAGACAGAAGAACAAAAGCTTCAGAGCATGAACACTTTAAGGAGTATTTAAGATGCAAGAACAACAGAGATTACCAGTACTGGGGATTTCAGAGAACAGTGGTCAATTAAGTGGTTCCAGGGGGTTGAGATCACAATGCATCCCAGAAACACCATCAGTGTCTCTCTATGTTGGTGACAGTCTGTGCTGACAAACTAAAGTAATTACTTTTGTCCTCTTGGGTTTTTGAGCACCCACTTCAATCAAATAAAAAGGTTAAAACAAGAGCTAAATGTGCTCCTTTGTCACCATGTCATTGTGCTTGATGGCAGCATGCACGTGTGCAGAGGCTGGTTCATTTAAGCTTTTGGGAGCCAAGTGACAAAGGTGGTCAATTGGAACACTCAAAAACAGCAATTGTCCAAAGAACTGAGGACAGGAACATTTGAAATCAATATACCTTGAAAAACGAAAGTGCAGTTCATTACATTCCTATTATAATTTTATTTTGCTCTTGCGTTAGCCAGAAAATAGTAATGGCAGTTGAAAAGCATGTGTTTACTGATTCTTTACCTCCTGGCATTTTGTTTTGTTGCATTTACTTTACTGCCTTTTCATCTAAGACCATGTGTAATATATTTTTATAATACAAGTCCAGGGGAAACATTCCACTATAATGTTCATCCTCTAGTTGTATGACCTTGAGGAAACCAATTCACAAAAAGCAGGCTTTAAAAGATGAAATGAATTTCAGTATCATCTTCAAACTCTCACTTTCCAAATGAAGAAGAGAAATACCAATGTCTGCAGTGAAGTGAAGGTAGGATTTAGTTCTAGAGACCTATTCATTCCCTGTTAGTGACTTTTTAGTTGTTAATTTTAGTTCAATTTGACTCAATTTCTTTCTGCTCAGTTAACATCTAAGGAGTGCCATGTATGCAAGGACACTTATTTATTTAACATCAGAAATTTAATACTGAGAGTAATAATAGAAAAAGTATGAATTTTGAGATCAGAACCATTTCAAATCTTACCTCAACCTCTTATGTATGAGCTGTCATTTTTTTTTTTTTTTGTCTTTTTCTTTTTTTTATCGGTACCAGGGATCGAACTCACGACTGCCTGCTTGCAAGGCAGACGCTTATGCCACTGAGCTAAATCCCCAGCCCGAGCTGTCATTTTTTTTACAAAGTTACCAGAACATCCATGTCCATAATTATAAAAGTAGATTCTGACCACCTACCTCTCAGAATTATAAAACTTAATGAAATTATGGGTGAAAAAATCCCAGGTCAGTCTTAACATGATTGTTTTATCTAATCCCCATTTCCCTCCTTTAGGACCTACTGTTTAGTCCTCTTGTATATCCCCATGGCTCTTTGTAATGCAATCAATTATACCACTTATGAAACTGTCCTATAATTATCTACTTCTGTCTGTGAATAAGTCTGTAGTACTTTGACAGGAAGATCTTGTGTTATTTATTACTGGCCATCAAAAGTGATAAGAGAGAAGAGCTAAATATGGCAGATAGTTAAGCAGCAGCATACAGAGCCTCCCTGAGCTCTGAGGCTCTTGCACCTCAATGACCAACAGCAAACTGGAGAGGGCAGAAATCCCTGGCCAGTGCATTTCAGAAGAACCATACCAACAGCAAAGTGGCTGGGACCTCCACTGTACATCTGTAAGGAAAAAAACCAAAAACATAACAAGAGAAAGAAATAAGAAAACACCCCAAGCCCCCAGTGAGTATTGATCCAGGAGAGGTAAATACAGAGGATACTGAGGGAAGCAAACATGCAATATCAGACATGGCATCACTGGACATAAAGAGATATCTTCACAACTTCATAAAGGAGTTTAAAACTGAAATGTTAATTCAAGTAAAGCAAGATATAAGAAGATTAATAAAAGAAATGCTAAACACCTCTCAAGAAGACACAGACAGAAGAATAGAGGGACACAAAAAAGGAGAGAAACATTCAATGAAGAATATAAAGAAAATCTAGAACACATGAAGCAGATTCAATGAGATTACCAGGAAATTAAAAACTCCATTGAAAGCTGGCAAAACTGCTTGAAAGAAACTAAGGAAAGACTATCAAAACTTGAAGGTAGGTTTGCAATGTATGATCATGAAAGGAAGATCTCTTAAAAATAACAAGGAAAACAGGAAATAACAATACAAAGGCTAGAAGATGACAAGAGGATCTATAACTTAAGGATAAAATATGTAAGTGAAGAAGCAGGGATAAAAATAAAGGAATGACAAAGGCTATTCACAGAAATAAATAAGGAAAACTTCCCAAACATAGGAAACGGAAATGATATTCAGATGTATGAGGCATAGAGAACTCCAGCCAGTTATAACGAAAACAAAGCTACACCCAGGCATGTAATAATCAAGATCCCAGAAATTCAATATGAGAACAGAATATTAAAAGCCATCAAAGAAAAGAAACAGATCACCTGTAAAGGAAAACCCATCAAAATCATAGCAGACTTCTCAACACAGACCATCAAATCAAGAAGAGCTTGGAGGGAAGTATTCCAAGCACTGAAAGAAAATAACCTCCTGCCCAGATTGATGCACCCTGAAAAACTGTCTCTAGAAATTAATGGAGAAACAAGATGCTTCCAAGACAAAGAGGAACTGAAGGAATTTGCGATCACCAATCCAACTCTACAGAGATTTCTCCAGGACATTATAGAGAGAGAGAAAGTAATGGGATGCCAGGAACAGTGGCATAGAGGCCTCAATGAATGGGGCAGACAGTGGAATGAAGGAGGAAAGTAGACAATTAACAGCAGAAAAATAGCATAGCAGAAATGAGACACAGAAGGTTTGCTATAATCTCTAACATAGACGGCCTTGATACACTAAAAAAAAAAAAAAAAAAAGAAAAGAAAAGAAAAAAGAAACACAGGCAGAGTAGATCAGGAGGTAGGGTCCACTGAGATGCTCTATATAGGAAATATAATTAACCTGAAAAAAGATTTATGGATCAAAAGTCAAATATGAGAAAACAATGCTCTATGTGACAGAGAATGAGACAGAAATAGGAGCAACTCAACCAGCACCTGCAGATAGGTTGGAAAGACAGGATACTTATGTGCAGTAGAGAACTACTCAGCTATAATGAAGGAAAACCTTGAGGCTTTTGTAGGTAAAGGAATACAACTTGAGATCAAGTCCAAGAGTGAGGAGGTTTGGAACCACTTAGGTAACTAGCAGGTTGCGCCCCCCCCCCCCGGCCCAATCTAAAAACTTTGGGAGTTGGTAAGACCCAAAATGCGCAGTGCACCCTGTGAGAGTGAAAGGGGAAGAATAGTCTAAAAAAAAAAAAAAAAAAAAAAAGAAGGCAGAAGATATTGTTAATAGTGCAACAGGATTTAAAATCCACATTACTCACACCATTCTGTTTAGATGGGTTATATTTTGTTTCAGCTTGTGTACGTGTACTAGATTTGAGAGCACAGACAGCTATCCTGAAAATAGCAGGATGTAGTATGATAATCATTCTTAATTTCCTATTAACTTAATCTGAAGCCCTGTATAACTTACACTGTTTTATCATAACTGATCTTATTTGAATCTGGTTTGTTAGATTGCTGTTTTGTATAGACGGATTTTATTTGAATCTGTTATGATTGATAGTATCAATTCTAAGAGTCTAGGCAGCTACACTGAAGATGACACGATTCGCCAGGATACCCACTCTGGTTTGATTATTACCTGCTTTTGAAGTTTTACACTGTCTACAAAGTTTTGTTTTTATTAATATTGTTATATGCTGCTATGTTCAATTATACTATGCCTGATGATATAGACAATTCTATTGAAGATAACAAGAGACAACACAGTAACCACTGTTGATCACCTTGTACTGTGATTTTATATGACTTTTGGTTTCATGCTTTTAATAGGAATTTGTTTTGTTTTTCCCTCAAATGCAGAAAGGATAGAAATACATGTAGAGATTCATGCATGCGTAGAACCTAAAAACAGTTTATGAGAACTGATTATATAATGCATGATGAACAACTACTTTGAAGAAGAGACACTATAATACCCAGTGCTGATTCTGGCATATATTATGCCAGCATCATGACGTGAAATCCAGCAATACTATTATTCTTTATTCAGAGTAATTTTAGCCTGTTTTGTTTTGTTTAATTTCAACATACATGAAGGTATGGACAGCTATTTTGAAGAGAATGAGAGACACTATGACAGCCATTGTCGACTTCCCTATTGTCTAGTCTTGAAGACCTAAAACACCTTCCTCATCCTGTTTGGATCAGTTTTATATTATGTTGTTTCTCTGTATATGAAGATATGGACAACTGTTTGGAAGAAAACAAGAGGCAATATGATTGATAGTAAAGATCTCTGGTTGTCCTGCTTTGAAATTTATGCCTCTTACATTGCTTTCTTATGTTGTTTTGTTGTTAATTTTACCCTCTTTAAAATAAAAAAATTTTAAGTGATAAGACACATGAGAGCACTTTATGAACTATAAATTTTCTAAGATGGCAAGCTCTGTGTATCAGTGTGACTGAGCTATATCCATCAGTGTAACTAGACACTAACCTGGGCACAGCTATTTTGTGAAGCTATTCTGTAGAAGTAGTTTATGTCTTCAATCCATTTATTTTAAGTAAAGATTATTCTTAATAACCTGTGTGAGCCTCATCAAATCAGTTGAAAGCCCTTAAGAGACATGCAGAAGTTTCTCAGAAGTAGAAGAAATTCTGTCTGTCAAATAAAACATTGGCTCCTGCCTTTGAGTATACAGATTCAAGACTTATCTGATCCACAGTTATGTAAGCTGGATTCTTGAAATAAAACTCTTCAGATATAGATAAATGTAACATAGAAATATAGAGATAGATGAGATAGAAATAGTGATAGATGTAGACAGAGACATAGATGTAGATATAGATGGGCATCCTACTAGTTCCACTTCCCAGGTAGAACCCCGACTGGTTTCAATCTACCCTGATTTAATAAACATTGCACAAATCTTTGTTCTTGCTTATTATTTATTACTTTATATTCAAATGTAATATAAGTCAAATAATATATGTAAAGTACATGAACAGTGTCTGGAACATAATGCATATTGAATAAATGTTTACTATTTGTTCACTATTTTTACTGTCTGTGACTGATATTTTAGTCTGACTCTCAAATCTATAGGAAAAGTTGCTAAGAAAGAAGACTTGGGATGGGAATTATGATATTGCCCCAGATAAATATTTATATGAATTTTGGACAAATATTTAAATTGCCTCAGTTCCTCAATGGGGTAACTACTGGCCCCATCTTTTTCACAATTGTAAGGCTCACAATAATGTAAGTGTGTAAGAATATGCTACAAACACACACACATGTAAAAACAGTAATAGTCATGAAGTATGTTATATGAATGACTGTTTATAGGGAAAGATTCCCATAAAGTAAAATGATTTATCAATCATCACACAAAGCAAGGCATTCACTCTGATCAAGTTCCTTTCATGACCAAATCATGCACATCACAAAGGGAGAAACAGAAACCACACTGTTGAAAATAAGATGTTGGGAAGAAAAATATACCTTTAACCACATCTTTTTATAAAAGCAGTATGTTCTGTGATAAATCTCCACAAAGAGGGAGAGAAGACACAGAAAATACAGTCCCACAATGAAAAACATTAATAGAGTGATTATCATTTCCAAAATCCACTGTGATCATATTTAGTATCTTCTTTGCTACTTTAAATAAAACTTATTCATACATGTAAACTGTGCATCCCAGTGTGTACATGTAAACTGTGTATCCCAGACCAAAAAAAGAAAAACTATCAGTAGACTTCTCAATTAGGTAGCCCTAAGTCTTACAGCAGCATGGACCAGCTATGGAGGAAGTAGGTTTAGCTATTAGGTAATCCCAGAGAGCAAGGCAGGCAGAGCCTCCATCGTGGGTGTGGCAAGTAGCTCGGTCACGGGGGTATTCGGGGTTCATAAGGTAGGTACATGAGGCAGTCAGCAAGAGGCACATAGGACTTGAGTTGAATGGCAGGTGGAGCATGGGAGTGAGAGACTGGAACCAGGGAGCTGAAGGTGTAAGGCTGAAGGGAATTGGCATGGAGAAGTCAGTGTAAGGTTGAGTAGGTGTCTCCTGGGAATCTGAAAGAGATCGCCCCCTCTTTCCTGAATAGAGAGATCATTGCTCCCCTGTTACACCCTGGCACTCATTCTCAGCTACTTACTAACCTCACTTAAACATGACTGTTTTTATTCTCATCATTATCTGTAGTTTCAACTGCCACCTATACTCTGATGGCTCACAGATCTATAATTGTAGTCCAGATCCACTCCAGAGCCTCAGAACCATCTAAGTGCCTCCTAAACATTCCTATTGATAAGTCCTGGTGGCTTAAGGGTACCTATGTCCTTATATCCTGGACTTAATACACTGCTGCCGTGCTGAATAAATTCCACTCTTCTGCTTATTTTTCTTGCATTTTCAGCAATACGAACTACCCAGTCACTTAAGTCTGACTCATTTCTATTCGTTTCATCTCTTTTGCCACTGTGGCTTTCCCTACGGTTCACTAAGATACTTATCCACTGAGACATTTCTATTGTAGCACTTAATTCAAAGACCTATATTATTCATTTTTATCTTTTTTCCCTCACTAGTCTATGAGCTTTTAAAAAATAGTGATTTAAATATACAGCAAGTCTTTAATGAGCAAATTCTACATACATCCTTAATCTGCCTGGGGTGTTTAAATGGTTTAATACTGAACTACTAGAAACAACTGATCCGCAGAATCCCTGATGTAGAACAGCTAGCCTTGCACGTATCCCTGCAAGATAGCATTTCAGTTGGCATTCCTTTTATCAACTTGAGAAGAGATGACAGGGTTGTGCAGCCTCCCTCCCTGAGTCTAGTTACTCACCAGAATCCAAGGACTTGATACTCTAGGCCAGCGATGCCCTGGCAAGTCTATGATTGCCCAGGCATTTGGACTCATTTCAAATCCCAAAGAATACAGAACCTTAGAAGAACCACAAGATCCAAGATGTCTTACTTAACTTTAAAATGCCTGAGTTAGAAAAACACAGATGTGATATTTATTTGTGAAACACTTTCCTTTAATTCGCTGAGTAATCACGCAAAGTGGGGAAATTTTATGTTCCTGTTAAGATGCAAATTTTCTTGATCCAAAATACATAATCCCATTTTATTCTGCCTTAATTTTCCTACAGGAACAATCAAGTACCCAGCAGTTCCAGTCATTTGATTTAGTGTCATCAACATGTGAAATATTAATATCAATATCAACCATGAAAGAGAACAGATCTTCTATAACTAAAAAAGATGCAGAAACGTGGAGAAAATTCTTGTATAGATTAAAATATCTGTATCTTAAAAGACGTTTCTTTTAAACGAAAGGAGTATTTCAAACAGAGGACAGTTGCTTAGGTCAGAGATAAACATTTCATCTCTGAGGATAAAAAGAACAGGGTCTCTCAAAGATTGTGAGGAGTTCACTAAGCCACTTTCGGTCTTTGAGGCTCCTAGCATATTAAAAATTAAGCATAAATAAACAGCAGTATAAAATTCTGATAGACATATATATAGCATTTCAAACATTTTGACACAATATATATATAATATCTGTATGCAGATAGCATTTGACCAATTGCCAGGCAAACTAGATCTGATCCAAATTGGCCCCTTTTTTCCCCTAAGCCGCTTGAGAAACTCTACTTAAGAATACTGCATTTTGTAAAGGAACAAGATTCTGATCTTTTTATTTCCTTATTAAAGTCATATGCCATTTTTTGATATACAGGAATTTTTGTTAATACACATATAATATCTTTTATCTGAAATGTTTAGGAACCCAAGTGTTTTATATTTAAAATTTTTTCAACTTTTAAATTATTTTCACGTATGAATTGATACATCTTGGAAATGAGAAGCAAGTCTTAACATAAATCTTATACATATTTTATATATGTATATCTTATAACATATCCTAAAAATAATTTTACATATTATTTATAGTGTAACTGTAGTCTTTGCATGAGATCAGGTGTGGAATCCTACATTTATGGCATCATGTTATAACTCAAAAAGTTTCAGGTTTTGGAGAATTTCAGGTTTGTGATCTTTCAGATTAAGGATGCTCAGCCTGTAGAAGAATAGAAACTTCAAAAAGGACCTCAATAGTTATAACCTACAACTAGATGTACCTTAAGTTGCATTCATAAAATCCTTGTGTTATTTTGCAGACTATGGACATTAAATTTATCTAAAGTCACAGAATTATAGTAACTTTCATGACAGGCTCAGACTAATGACAATCTTATCCAGTTTTTTAAACATATTACTTCATTTATGCTCCATACTCTTAAAAGTATAATTATCTATAGTCTATAAATAAATTAATTAAAATTCAAAGAATACCAATGACTTGTTTAAAGTAGTATTTTGATCAAAATAAAGTGTTACTGTTTCTACAGAAATATTTGTAGTTGGATATAATCCCATTTGTCTATGTTCACTTTTGTTGCCTTGCTTTTAAAGTTTTCTCCAAAAAAAAACTTTTGCCCAAACCAATGTTATGGAGCACTTCCATATTTTCTTCTAGTAGTTTTATAGTGTGGAACTTTAAATTTAAATATTTAATCCATTTCAGTTAATTTTATATACAGTGAGAGAAAAGAATGAATTTTCATTCTTCTATACATAAATATCCAATTTTTCCAAAAACTTTTATTAAAAGTCTGTCCTGTCTATTTATGCAATTTTGACATTTTTGTTAAAAATCAGTTGGCTAAATGCACAAATTTATTTCTGAGTTCTCTGTTCTATTCATGCTATTGGCTGACATGTCTTTTTGCCAGTACCATGCTATTTTGATCATATTTTGATGCCTCCAGGTTTGTTCTTTTTCCTTAGAATTTTCTGCAGGATCTTTCATAGTCCCACATAAATTTAAAGTTTTTTTATTACTGTAAAGAATGTCATCAATATTTTCATACAAGTACTGGTGGGAATGGGAGAAAACAGAACTCATATATGGTTAGTGGGAAAATACATTAGCATAACAATTTTGAAAAGGAGAATGGAGATTTCTCGAAAGATTTTCAAAAAGAATATCACATGATTCAACAATTCCATCTTAGGGCACATATATCTAAAGGAATAGAGATCAGTGTGTTGAAGAGAGATGTTCACTTCTCTGTTTATTGTAGCACAATTCACAGGAGCCAAACTATGGAACCAACCTGTGTCCCATCAATTGATAAAGAAAATGTAGTATGTATATAAAAGAGTACAATATAACAATAAAGAGATTGAAATCCTGCCATTAGTAACAACATAGCTAAAACCGGAGGACATTGCTTCAACTGAAATAAGCCAGACTTAGAAAGATAAATATCACATAACATCACTCAGATGTAGATTGTAAAACAATTGTCTCAT